GTGTGAGTGAGTGTGCGTGGGGGTGTGTGAGTGTGCATGGGTGTGTGTGCAGGTGTGAGTGTGTGTGTGTATTGTGTGTACAACTGTGTGTGTATTGTGGGTGTGGGTGTGAGTATGGGTGTGTGTATAACTGTGTGTGTGTTGTGTGTGCAGGTGTGTTGTGTGTGTGCATGTGCACAAGCCTGCGCGTCTGGGTGCGGGGGTGTGCGAGTGTGTGTGTGCGGGTGTGTGCACATGTCTGTGTGTGTGTGCGGGTGTGTGTGCACAGGGTGTGAGTATGGGTGTGTGTATAACTGTGTGTATTATGTGGGTGTGTGTATTATGTGGGGGTGTGTATAACTGTGTGTGTGGTGTGTGTGCAGGTGTGTTGTGTGTGTGCATGTGCACAAGTCTGCGTGTCTGGGTGCAGGGGTGTGCGAGTGTGTGTGTGCATGTGTGTGCACATGTCTCTGTGTGTGTGCGGGTGTGTGTGCACGTGTCTGCACGTCTGTGTGCGGGGGTATGCGGGTGTGTGCGTGTGCACGTCTGTGTGTATGTACGTGTGTGCGTGCATGTCTGCTGGTGTTTATGCATGTGTGTGTACACACATCTGTGTGTGCAGGTGCATGTGTGCATTTATGCAGCAGGGGGTGCGTGTGTGTATGCGTGTGTGTGCTGTATGTGCACGTGTGCACCAGGGTGTGTCTGTGTTCATGCACGTGCCTGTGTGTGTTCATGAATGTGTGTGTATGTGTGCACCGGAGTGTGTGTGTGTATTGCATGTGTGCCTGTGGGCACAGGTGTGTGTGCATGCGTGCACCGTGTGTGCACGCCTGTGCACGTGAGCTCTTGGGTGTGCACCGTGCGTGTCACAGCATCACAGAATGTCTGGGGTTGCCGTGTGCTGCAGCAGCAGAGTCCTTGCCCTTCCAGATCCTGCCCACGCTGACAGAGCCCACCCGGGCACCAGCGCGGGGCTGGACCCACTGTCAGGGTAACAAAACCTTTCAGGGGGGTGAAAAACTGCTGTACAAATACAGCCAAACACAGCGCCTGATCCAATCAGACTCTCAGCTGCTGCCACTGATAGAGGGGTGGTCATTTACACAGAACAACAAGAAAATAAATTACCAGCAAATCAAAGAGGGTGAGCAGGATCATGGATACAGCCCCGTGTGCTCCCAGCCAGGGGGTCCTTGGGGGTGGCAGGGGGGAAAAAAAGGAGGAGCAAACATCCATGGGGGCTGTAGGAGCAGGGGCTCAGAGGAGCCACATCCCAGCAGTTGCACAGGGACGAGGGCACCTTTGTCATCTCCTTTGCTCACAGACCCTAACGTGGATCTGGGTCCTCCCAGCATTTGGGTAGAACGTTTCTTGCTGTCCTGCTACCCAGGAGCTGCCGGCTCTGCCTGGCATTGGCAGGAGGAAAAAGTCAGTCTGAGGCAGGTTAGGGAACTTCATCCTGTGTGAATAACACAGGTGAAAGGTGAGCAGGGCAGGTGATGGCTTCAGGGAGCCAGGCAGCCCAGCTGCAGCCCCCAGCCCACCCCCCTCCCATCGCCAGGCCCCTCCACACCCTGCCTGTGCTACCCCGATGCAAGGGGAAGTTGGTTTTATTCCCAGCACCACTGCTGGATGGGGTTTGTCTCCGAATGCAGAGGGGTGATTTCAATCTCATCCCTCTCCAAACTTCCTGCTCAACCTCATCCTCTCTTCAGGTTTTTTTACAAGAAAATGTCGAAGTCCATGAAAGCAGCAGCTCTGCTGTGAGGGCAGCTCCTTCCTGCTGCAGCAGAAACCCAGCCCGGGTCCTGCTGGCCCCGCTGGAGCAGCTGGGGGTTCACACCCCCTGCCCTGTGCTGTAGGGCTCTCCTCTGGGCTGTGGGGCTGATGGCAGATTGGCATAGATCTCCTTCTGCTCCCGCCGGGGCTTCTGTACTCTGGCATATAAACTCTCTTTTTCCTCTTCCAAACACTAGGAAAAGAGGGGGGGAAACAAACAAAAAAAACCACCACCAATAACAAACCGTCTTTCACAGCGTTGCTTCAGGGCAACACGATCTGCAAGAACCTTTCTTGGCAGCCTTAAGCACCCAGGAGCAGCCACGGAGGCTGAGGAGGGCACCCACATTACCCACTGCTCAGCACGTCCCTTTGCAGCCCCCTCCCCATTCACCCAACCCCTCCCCCCCCCCACGCTGCTGCCCACCCACCCCAACTCTCCACCCACCACCTCCAGCTTCCAGCTCGGTGCTGCTTTACCCTCCCCTACCTGATAGCTCCGCCTGACCTCCATGTACTCGGTGGAGGTGTTTTCCAGGCTGCGGAGAGCCCTGGCGTTGCTGTACAGCTGGTTCCCCGCTTTGCCGGTGCTGTGGTTAATGACCGAGTAGTTCAAGGCATCTGCTCCCTGGCATGTGAAGGAGAGGGATGAGCCCTTCACCCCCTGCTGCTCCCCTGCCCGCACCCCCTGCCTGCAGGCCAGAGGGTGGGAACACCTCCTAATGCTGCTGCTTTTCCCAACAGAGAGCTGAGACGGCTGCAGGAGCACTGGGGGAAATGTAATTGCACAGGAGAAATGGGCTCAGTGACAGCGGCCCCTCCTCGGGAGCTGGCAGGGAACATTAGAAAACACTTCTCAAGTAGTGGCCAAGGATCAGCTGTCCCCCTGACTCCTCAGACGTGCTTTGCTGCAGGTTGCCAAGGCTGCTCCATTCAGGGAAGCAGCTCCCCTGCTTGGAGGGGCTTGGGGAGAAACCTCTCAGCTCTTTCCTTCCCAGGAATCCCCTGCCATAGTGACACAAAATCCCTGGTTGGGTCTTTCTATTGGGGAATGGAGCCCAACGGATCCTCCCAGCCTAAAGGGCCACAAACGTGGCTGAAAGCAAAAGGCCCTGGCAGCTCATTTGCTCAGCTCAGGGTGAAACGTTCCCCCCTCCCAGCTCCAAGCACACCATCCCAAGACCTTGCCCAGTTTGTCTTACTGCCCGTGACGTGTTGCAAGTCCTGTCCATCTCCATAGCTGCTCCGGAGAGGGCTGGATGAAGCACAGACATGGTTAGACATGAGTGAAGCCAGAGGGAAAAAAATGTATTAAAATATCACGCTGTGAATCCTGCCGTGAAGAGGAAAGGAATCTCTTGCCCTAGCAAACATCTAAACTGGAGCAGGTCAAATAAAACTAGCCCCCACCTGCTAGCTGGTGTTATCTCCTCCCATCCCTTCCTGTCCTTCATACTGGCCTTAAACTTTGCATCAAGCCTCGTGCAAGCCTGGCCAAGACAACTGAGTGTGTCTGGAGAAGCCAACAATGTCCAAACTCCAATGGGTGCCCCGGTGGGCAGCACCCATCCCAAGAGCTGCCATTCCCCATCCCCACAGGGATCAGACCTATGGGACAGTCCCATTGCTCCCTTGGGGGAAGGAGACCTCAGTGGAAATCTCCCTGAGGGGCCCAGGAATTGGATGGATCAAGGAGGAAATGAAATAAGGAGGAGAAAGAAGTACAGGGGAAAAAGCCAAAGGCAGCACAAGACCTGGTGCAGAAAAATTGTGTGTGGCAGTGGCAGCTTTGCTTACCCTTCTTCCTCTTCCTGGACAGCATAATCAGAACTCCCACTGCAATTAGAAGCAAAAGAAGAACCACCACGATGCCTGGAATGAGGATGTGCTCAACCACATTCAAGCTGCAAGAAAAAAAACGACATCTGTTCCCACACATACATCTCCTCAGCAGCAGACTGTGGAGGAACCAGCATGGAGCAGGCAGGGGGCAGCTGGGGGGGTGGGGCTCTCCTTGGGAGGGAGAGAAGCAGGTGTGAGGGTGGCCAGACTGCAAGCTGGGCACAGAGCAAAGCACACAGAAAACTGCAGGAGCAAAGGGACACTCGGCTCTGGGATCTGCTGTGTCTTCACTGTTTTAAGGATCAGTTCCTAATTTTGCTCTGGGTCAAGTTCCACTACTTGTTGACCTTGCTCTAATGGGCAACCAGGCAAGGTCAGTGTGCCAACTTGGCACGATGATGGGAGGCCTCAGCTTTGTGCATTTCCTGCGTCACTTATAAGAAGCAGAAGAAGAGAGAGGAAGCTCTGCCATCCCAGTCTCGTGCTTTTTCAACCATCTCTGTGGGGCCGTGTGTAACTACAAAGCAGAACAAGGCCCAGACCAGCGCTTGGTTTTGCACAAGCAAACAGTCTCTCTGAGTTTTAGGGAAGGAAATTGGGTCAGTGCTGATGCCAGAAGCTAGTTCTCCCATGGTGGTAACCAGCACCTTGTTTAAGCTGTAAGGACAGGGGACAAGCAGGGCTTTGCTGGGGCCAAGCAACCAGGGGTGCTGGGATTAATTTCCATGTGGAGTGGCTGTCTGAAGGGAGGAAATTTTGTTCTCTAAAGGCAAAAGCAGAAGATATGAATCCTTAAGGGAGGTGTGAAGAGCCTGGAGGGCTGCAGGGCTCCAACTGCACAAGGGAGACCTCATGGAGGGAGGTGGCTGCTGTGGCAAGAGCTGGTACTCGCCATGCAGGGTTGGAGCCGTCGTGGCAGGAATGATTTGGTCCTGGTTGCACAGCTTCCCCTCGGGGTGTTATCTGTGTGGGAACTGATACAGAGGAAGTGAAATGAGCGTGCTTGGTGGTCGAGGCATAGGGTGATGCTGGGGAAGAAGGAAGAGGAGCTGTAACAAAAAGAGGAGAGGCTCAGTCAGTCTCCCTGCCTCTGCAGGGGGAAAAGCTGCAGGTTTTGCAGCGAGTCAGAAGTGATCCACTTACTGTCACACCAGGAGATGCTGGGGCCCCTCTGCCATGTCACAGAATCACAGAATCATCAAGGTTGGAAAAGACCTTCAAGATCATCAAGTCCAACCCTCAGCCCTACAGCCCCTAACCACTAAACCATCTCCTGAAGAACCATGTCCACCCATTTTTAAAAAACCTCAGCAGACAGCGCCTCCACCACCTCCCTGGGCAGCCTGTTCCAATCTCTCACCAATCTTTCTGTGAAGAAATTTTTCCTAATACCCAATCTGAAACTCCCCTGGCACACCTTGACCCATTTCCCATTGTCCTATCTCTAGTCACTAGGGAGAAGAGACCAACACCCACCTCACTGTAATCCCCTGCCCCTGTCAAGGAGGCTTTTTATAAACCTAGTACCCCCCCAAAAAAAAAAATATGTGTGCACACACATGTGCATGTAGCAGTTCACCCTGCAGAAGGGGGTCTGGGCACTACCTGCCCAGCCCCATAAAACTCTCACCACAGGGGCTGGTCCCTGGCAAGGGGATGGAGAGGGACATTCCCTAAGCCAAGGGCCCAGTGCCCCCATGAACTGGCTGCCTCAAACTGGGTGAGAGGGTGAGGGACTCCCTGGTGTTATACAATCAGGCAAGGAGAGCACACACAGCACCACCAGGATCTGCTGAGTGGGGAACATGGGGCACGGAGAGCAGGGTGCTGCACCCCAGCAATGGGGGTGGCTGACCCAGGGAAGTGGCCGTTGGTGAGACCTGGGCCCAGGGGATGGGTGAAGGTGGCACCAGCTATGGTAGCAGCCTGCTAAGCCCTGCTGACAACCCCTGGGGCTGTGCCACGGGGCCTGGGCACCCACCTCCCTGCAGTCCCCACCTCTGCCCTATGTACTTGGGCAAGGCTACACAGCAATGCTGGACCCGGGGGCGCACAAGTACAGACCTGGGGACACGATCACCTCCACACGGTGACTCCGATCAAACGAGGCTTTTCCCGTTCGCACCCCACAGACGTAGGTGCCGCTGTCCCTCCCGGTCAGGTTGTGCACCATCACCGTGATCTCCCGCGATTCACGATTGTCCCGGATGGAGAACCGGCCCCGCCGCACCTCGGGCTGCTGCCTCGAAGTGATGACGATTTCTTTACCACAGGTGTAAAGTGTTCCCGGGACACACCAGAATTTCGGCTGCATCTCCCAGTCGGGCTCGTACCTGCAGGTCACCGAGAGGGACCCCCCCAGGAATCCCTGCACTTTGTCGGGCCCCGTCACTGCCCAGCAGCCTGCGGAGACACACGGAACC